AATAATCAATACAAGTGAATTGGTTAAAAATTTAATTTTAATATTATATTTCATATACTGAATATAGTTTATAAATGTTTAATAAAATACATACAGTATAATTGGCTTGACAAAGAACTAAAAATCCTTCAAAAAATCAAAAAAAAAATTTTTTTCTTCAAAAAACCAAAAAAGTAAAATATTTGTAGTATCAATCTGCAAGTAAAGATATTTACAATCGAAAGAGTATTAATTTGAATTATAAATAAATTTCAAAGTTATATTTAAATCAGATTAAATAGACTGAATGATTCATAAGAATATATATAATTTACAATTGTTTAATAAAGCATATATAGTTAGCCTGACAGTGGATTAAATTTTTAAGTTTTAATATGCGTATTTTATCTTTAAATAATTTGCTTGTTTTTGTTTTGCAATATTTATTAATGTCTTGTTTACATTTTTGTTAATGTTAAAATACAAGATTTTTATCCAGTTTGATCTTTTTCAAGAAAGTGAATTGGGGGGGGGGTTTTGACATGACATTGTTGACCTTGACCGATTCATTATTATTAAAAATGGTATGCAGTACAAATTATGCGATAGGGAGTCGATATGAATTATTTGCAACATTATATAAAGTTAACTTACAGTATAACGCGTAATAACAACGGAAAAATCAGCGCTCTACAAATTTCTTCAGTATTATGTAATGATTATTTTACGTTCGTTTTATACTTTCCGGTCATAACATCAGTATAGTGTAATGAATGATCTTTGCTATTCTTTCTTTCACGTGATTGTCAAACTTTCGTTTAATATATTCCAATTTCTTTAGTCGTAACATTTCGTAATTTAATTTTACGTTAGAAATGCGTTTATTAAAATCGGACCGAACATAATACTTCATATGGTACATTCGTCCCAAGATCACACACTGCACACATTCACTTTTATCAATGTCGTTCATATCTTTCTGCATCATCAGTTCTGCAACTCTCACAAAGAATTGATATTGATTAATTTTGACTCAAATTTTGACGGTCCACGAATCTATAGCCGAAAAATAGGATACCTCCAATAATGAACAGAACATAAAAGAAATAAAAATAATTCCCACCTTTTTCACGTAGACACAAGTTCATCAGTGAAAGGGGAGTGAAAAATTGGTTAGAATCAATTGTCATTAATTTCGATTTGTCATCATTGAGAGAGTAATCTAATCACCTAAAGCATATTCGAAGTCGGGAGCCGGGTTCTCTTTTTTGTGAACTTTTTTCTCAATAATTTCCGTACCTTCTTTCGATTTCCCGTCCTCGTCTTCGTTTCTTGAATTTTCTACGTCCGTGTTATCATCCTTGCGATAGTTGCGCAAAATATGCAATAGTTTGTAAGTTGCAGTTCCGTTGTTATGATACACAGGGTTTTCTGATTCAGAATTGGTCGAAGGCGGCTGCGGTTGATCTTGTGTAGGCGATGGTGGAGAAATGATACGCAATGTTTGTAATAACTTTTTGACTGGACCTTCACCGATAGATTGATTATATACCATGGCTTGGTGACAACGTGGCTTAAGCTTCAGAATAATTATTTCTGTTAAAGTGATGTTCAAGAACTTAAGAAAATGAACAAGTTACTATTACCGGCGGGCGCCTTTGAGTATGCGGTTATTCTGCACGTGCAATAAATCAAAGGCCTGCAGAGCGGAAACTAGAATTTGCGAGATATCCATCATCATGACGTATTTATGCGTAAGAAACCAACCGTTGTCTCTCAAATATTGACACAACTTTTCGTCATTAAATAGTAGATGCGTCAATACGTCATCTCATTAATTAAATAAAAGTCTCCGTTTTGCCATTTCCTTACACAATTTTATAACTTTAAACAAAAATGTCTGACCGAGAGTATTCCACCGAAGAGGGAGTAGTCAAAGATGAACTTTATGAAGAACTTGTGAAACATGGAGATGAAGAATATGATCCATCAAAAGATGAAAGTGGTAATTTCATAGTACAACGTAGCAAGTTTTGAACCTTATATCGCAAAACGCATTAGCGCTCACTTCGGATTTAGCTCCTGAAGAACCAATTCCGGACCGGGCCACGCCACCCGATTTGCGCCCTTCAACAATTGAAAAAGGAGAGACCGGGGGACTTTATGAAGAGGACGAATCATTCGAATCGGGTCCAACTTTGACTGAAGGCGATGAGGACAATGTGGATCCTTCAAGGAAACTGTATGTGTGCTGCGGTTTTCGAGTATTGCACGTGAAACATGTAATGACCTCAATATTATTATAATGATAATTCCAAAGGTCTTCTCTTGTATCTGCATCTCATCGAGCCGGTAGAACCCCTGAGGCCAAAAGAGAAAGTGCTGAAAAAGCCTCTGCATTGCATGAAAAAATCACTGGCAGCCCATTGGAGATAGATGAAGGTATATTTGTTTTCGGCTGGTATTAATTGTTTTGTTTCCGTTGCTTCTTCATGACAACAGTCCTTTTCTTGTTTGCGTTGCCATTATCCATATATGCAGAGGGCGAAGTCGTTACCGGTCCAAGAATCAGCGCTGGTTAATCGACCTTTTGCAGAAATTTTCGTGTCAAAAAAAAAAAAAAAAAAGAGAGAAGAGAAAATCTTTTTTACGAAATAAATAAATAAATTCCTTTTAGATCCAGTTAAAAACGCAGTCTTGAGTTAAACGCTGCTATTTGGTAATAACCCAATCTACGAATGGGATCTTTAGTATGAATGATACTTCAACTTTAAAAACTTTCTTTTTTTTTTAAAAAAAAAGAAAGTGTGATGTAATACGTATCAGAAAAGGTATCCAGTCAGGGCTGTCCTATTTGGGAACCAATTGTGAAATCCGTAAATTATGAATGGACCAGTTACAAATAAGTATTTGTGATCCTATTTTAATATACAGTATAGAATACGTCATTTTTTATGCATTGTTTCCTTAATTACGTACGGTTGTAATCGAAAAGTGTCATGACATCCTTAAAGTTTCTATCGAGTCATTGGTTATTTCATTTATAAACTATATTCAGTATATGAAATATAATATTAAAATTAAATTTTTAACCAATTCACTTGTATTGATTATT